AACCTATAAGAAAGTTTTCAAATGAAATTATAAGCTATATTATTATATTATATAATATAAAATATATTATATAAACAAGAATATAATTTGATTTCAATTTATATATAAATAAATTTGAATTTAATAAATAGAAATATAATAAAAAGATTAGTAATTTTTAATAGATTCTAATTGAAATATCTAAAAGAATTTTTCTATTTTTTTATTAAAATCTAATAAAAAATTAATTTAAAAAAAAAAGAAAAAGAAAAAAAAGAAGAAGGAATTGAAAAGTAAGTAAAATCTAGAAGCTTTTTATTTAATAAATAATTATTATTTTAAACTGAAATTTTTAATTAATCTTTTAGAATTTAAGAAATTTATTAAGAATTTATTAATTAGAATAAGCTTTATAAGATATAGAGACTTAGATTGATTATATTAATATTTTAAAAACGATTTATTTAATACATAATGAAGGTATTGTAGAATTTATGGCAATTATGAAAGGATTACTTCGTTAACCACGGATTCTGCCACCACAGGGCCTAGCCAGTCCCTAGAACCCTAGCTTATCGACCCAGTCTGACAATCGAATTAGCAGTACATCCCTGATTCCAAATTAGAGAAATATTGGAGACTATGCACAATCCCAAGCAGTCTCTACCACAATGACCTTGTTATCAGAAGATCTAGCGTTGCCGGAAGTGCTTGTTCTGTTGTTCCCCGATGGTGGCGCTGATAGTGTTGGTGTGCGTTCCTTTCGCAATTGGCTGAAGGGGCAAACCATCTTCATCCAAGTGACTGAATCCACGGTGGCCCCCTCTTTTGGTCGTCGAACTCTGTCTTCTTAAATCCTGCTTTGACCCCAGTCGAGTGCTGATCGAGGCAAGAGCTCCAATAATGGGGGTCAATATTGGACGCAACAGGGGACCGCAGCAAACAAAGATAGCAACACCGAACTCTATCACTGGCCAGATATAATTGTAAAGGTTGTAAGTAAAATCCGAGAAATCGGTATTGAGAATTGTTACCACTCGTGCAACGCTCATAGCGACAGTACTACTCAAAGTTAACTCGTGATTTGCATCAAAATGAATGAAGACTTACAACAAACCAAAACACATCAACGCTGCAAGTGCGATTTTGTTTGCTGTTGGCATTTGTAGCCTCCAAATTATAGGTTGGGGAAGTAGAAGAATCATCATGTCCGTGATGATGTCTACAATGCCAACGGCTGTATAGGCAGATATCGTGTTCCCACAATGTCCAGCTGTAGGTTGAAGATTCCAATTATAGCCCAATGGACGACAGATAAGGAAAGCTATCAGGATTGTCATTACGGTCCATGAAACGCACATTGCTAAGACAAAGTATCCTGCGAGTCTGAATTTCGGGACCGCAAATATCCTGATTAACATGATGGTGATACTACATTTGATTAATCCGAGCCCGACACCGTACAGCATTTGATTTGCAAGCAAGACCTGATGATAAATGTCAGCTTGCTCTTGCAATTCCAATTCATGCAGAGTGAGTTTGGTTGATACCTTTTGGGCTGTCTTGAGCTGTGCGGGATTCAATTGATCCACATGCCATCCAGAACCCCCAAAAATGACCAGCATTATGTCTCCACTCCCAAACCCATAAAATATTATCTGCCACTGGTTAGTCAATTCCCTTCTGAGAGTCTCTGTGGGGGACACTTACTAACGCTCCTACCACCAGCCAATCTTCAATCATGAGCGCGATTCCTTTCATACGACGAGCATGAAGTCGCAGTACGACAGATATCGTTGCGATCGTCCAGAAAACTGCTACAATGACAATGACCTGTGCTCCACGGTCATTGAGCCCACGGTAGGACTTTGGCAACTCTTGTCTAGCTTCGAAGTTCATTTGCAGATTGAACACACGAGAATGCTGCGAGTCCAGAATCATCTTTCCTGGGAGGAGACCTATCAACTGGATCTCTCAACTGTGGGTTGTTATACCGTACTCACTTTGGCTACCCGCTCTGTACATTACCAAACCTCTGGGTCTCCCGTATCTTACATGTTGAAATATACCTATCGCTTCTGATGTAACAAAAGATTACCACCCCAATACGGTAGGATACTCGGAGGAACTGCAATTCTATACCTCGCTTGCAGGGCTGTTAACTCCTGAGTGTACTATTTGAGGAAAGCTATCATCATTGTGGCCGCTCATTTTGTCCGATATTGATATTCAGAAGCGACTGCACATGTAATTGGAGAAAGCTAGGATAGATCCCACCTAAGCCTGCAATGACCCAGGTATATTGGACAAGAAGCCTTGTTTATACTTCGTACATAATTTATATGAGAGTACATATCACAGGGTTTGTATGAGAGTTCATTTCACAGAGAATGGGGAAGGTCATTAAACCAGCTCGAACCAGGTGGTCTTTTCTTTGAGTCAGATCAGACCAGTTTTTGGCTTTTGCGAATCTACATTACTTTCGTACAAGCATGTTGTCCGGGCTCATAATCGGCGTCAAATATGGTCCTGGAATCATTTTTGTTTCGAATCCTCTTCAATTGGCATTCACCACGATATTACCAGAACGGCCAGAAGATTGGGAGACTTTGTTGTCAGATTACTGACAGAGCTTTCTACTGCCTAATATAAACTGTCGAGTCACAGCTATCAATCTCAGTTATCAGTCTTCAAATCAGTTGCAGATCGACTGTACATATTGCAGAAAAGAAAATCAGTCAGCGTTTGCTTCAACCATACATGGATAGCACTTAAGAACCATAAGCAGCATGGAGGCAAATTATGGTCAAGTCGATACCTCCTTAACATGCCACAGGTCCACAGCGAAGCACTGGTGGAGACAGTTCGTCCGATTAAACGCCCCCCGCCACCACTTAGAGGTAGCGGTGGTGCAACAGGAGTGTGGTAGAACGGCAAGTCGGGCGCATCATTTGTTCCTAGGGTGCAGCGGAAGACTATTGAGGGCCAATTAGATACGGCCAAGACGACTCCACTTTGAGCTATATCATCGACTTGGTAATACAATGGCAGCACTCGTGTTTTTGTCAATGGTGCCGTACCTCACTCTGAACGATTTGACGGGCATACTAAAAAAGTAGTATTACTCTCAAAATTTAGTTTCACATCTAAAATCAATAATTTTGATTCCCAATTGAAAACAAATATTGAAAAACTTATCGCTTATAATATGTCCTTATATTATTCAACTTATAAAATATTTTCATATTATTATTCAATTTTCAAATGATAGTATTTTGACGAAAGTGTCATTTTTGATGGGTTTGGCGTGCCCGATTTTCCGTTAACAGTGAGCCTACTTTGAGTACTAGAATAGCACTACTTATTAAGTGGGGGATGATAAGTCGAAGGGTTCCTGATGGAACCCTGTAATAAATGGGATAGAATCTAATCCAAGGGCATATGATTGAATTCGAGCCTAACGCGAGCCTCGGCTTTAAGCATTTTGACCTAGACCGCATAATTCCTCACGAAAATTTAACGATTTCCCAATCAATATCTGGTCGGGGTCCCGACGCACGCCTCTCTAGAGTTGAATTGTATGGATACTACCAATACGATAGGAGGTTGTTTCGCCACCTCTCCCCCGACCCGCTCGTTTGCGGGGAAATCAAACTCTCTTTCTCACGTGGTGGGTGGTTGATTGGTTAGATTATACAAGCTAAACCCCATATGGACAGGTCTTGGATACGTTTTTTGATGCATGTGCAGGGTGGAAATCGAAAACGGAACTCATCGTAGGAAACCTTTTACTTGATAGAGGGGCATCAATTATCAACTAATGGTATAGGGCGGGGAATTGTCACATATGGAAGGTTGCAGAAAGATTATCGACTGCAGACAGGATATCTGTAATTATGGTGCTTTTGGACGCAAGGCCGTAGCGCTTTAGTCATGAGCTATCTTGAAGCCGCTGACCTCGTTCAAGTGGAGATGCTCTTATCATTGGCTTTATGTGTTCTTATTTCTGTTTTATAAAGCACAGTAAGCACAGAACAATGTGTCAAGAACGTCAAAGTTGGCGAAGAGAAGACCTGTTTCCTCTAGTTCTGTCAATTACTCTTGTACATACGCTTCAATGTTTTTCCAGCAAATAAGCATTGTCGGGCCTACAGCTGCCATTATATTGACTGTAGTTTGCTATGCCGTCGTCTTATCTGTCTATCGTCTGTTTCTACACCCTTTGGCCAAATTTCCAGGTCCTAAGCTCGCTGCTCTTACAAAGTGGTATGAATTCTACTTCGACCTGGTGAAAGGCTATGGGGGGCAATTTGCTTGGGAAATACAGCGAATGCATGAGATATATGGTAAGTGAAATGGTGCCGACTTCAGTCATAATCGATATCGACATCGATAAAAGCTGACCGGCCAGGACCTATTGTTAGAATAAATCCATTTGAGCTCCACGTACAAGACCCTGACTGGTTTGACACACTGTACGCCGGAAATCCTACCAGAAGGGACAAATATCCGCCAGCTGCAAGTATGGCAGGCGCACCTTTGGGCAGTGAGTAGTCATCGAACTTGAAGATAATTGATCTGGTCTAATCACCCGCTGCAGCTTTTGGCACAGTTGAGCATGATGTCCATCGAAAACGTCGCGCTGCCAATAGTCACTTACTCTCTACACGTGCGATATCCGATGCTCAACCTCTGATACTAGACCAAGTGCGAATTCTCTCGGACCAATTTGAACGGTATTTGAGTACGAAAGAGATAATTGACCTCCGCGTTACCTTCCTGGCCTTCACCACAGATACAATCACAAGGTATGCGCTCGGGGAAATGAAAAATCTTCAAGAAAACAAGACGCTTGCAGTTGACTGGAGCGCAACAATAAGGGCTGTTGCCAGAATAACGCCGCTGATGAAACAGTTTCCCTGGATGATGACCGTAGCTCTTTACATCCCTATAAATATTCTAAGATTCTTCATGCCTGAACTATTCAGACTAGTGCAGTATCATGCTGTGAGTGTTATTCCATGGATAAGCAATTTACTTCTCAGGACTGACATGATGGTTCCATACTATAGGAGATGCGAGCTTTTGCCGAGCGATTTTTATCCCAGCAACAGGCGAGCCAAGAAAAGCCGAAAACTCACGAAACTTCTTCTAATATGGCCTTGTTTCAATGCATATCAGATAGCAATCTACCAGCTCATGAGAAATCAGCAAAACGCCTTGCTCATGAAGCAGTTGTGGTGATATCCGCAGCAGCCGAAATCACATCTCGCGCTCTGAGCATCACCATGTTTTACATACTGTCTGAACCTCAAGTTTTGAGACGACTACGGGATGAAATAGATGTAGCAATGCCCGATTACTCCGTCTTACCATCCGCAAAATCTTTAGAAGAGCTTCCTTACTTGGTATTATGCAGTCATTCAATTCTTTCATTCGAGCTATAACTCACCAAATTAGGTTGCAACCGTCAAGGAGGCATTACGAATATCTGCAATTATCACATCGAGAATGCCATTAATGGCTCATACTGAGCTAGTCTATAAGAATTGGAAGATACCAGCAATGGCAAGTCCTGCATTTTTCCTTTTGTAATCGAGAAATTAGTTGGCTGACTCATTTTAAGACGCCGACAAGCATGACAATTCACGATATCCTACTTGATCCTAATATATATGAAAATCCACACAAATTTGATCCAAATCGCTGGTTGGGGGGAGATCCCGTCCCAGAATGTTACTTTGTGCCTTTTGGGAAGGGTACTCGGATGTGTCAGGGAATGAGGTATGCTCCTACTACGTTTTCCCTTTTGACCGAGCCTAATCGAGACTGACTTTTGGCAACTTCTCAAGATTTGCCTATACCGAGTTATACGTAGTTTTAGCTACATTGCTCAGAAGGTATGAACTACAGCTACATGATACCTTGCGAGAACGGGATGTTGAATCTGTCCGGGATTGTTTCATTGGAGAGCCATATCCAGATAGTCTTGGGGTCAGAGTGAAGATCCTTGGCAAAAGACTGTAAAAAGTCCAGTTCTATAATGAATTGGGAGGAAATGTCGTTGTATAAACGACTATGATGAAGTATAACGCCGGGAGGTCGCATATAGATCCCTAGATTGGCATTTTCTCACAACCTACTTAATGACATACCATAACAGGCGGAAACTTCTCAGTCCTTATACGCCAGTAAATCTCGCATTCATCAACAGTTGACTCCCTTGACAGGTTCCAAACCTTGATAATCATGATTCAGTGATGTATTTGATACTTGATAGGATTTTACCGGAGACTCGATATACGAATAAAAACCGTAGTCAGCGTTGCAATGCTAAATCAAATTACCCCTCGGTCTTCTGATCAAAGTGATGGAAAACACCACACTAGCCCTGCTTCTTCGATATGATCACAGTAACTGACTTAAGCAGGAGTCACTTTTGCTCCACATCACTACTAGGTTTCCCCTGGTAATGCCCTCAATTCGTGCTCCACACTTCGTGCTCTATCGGAGCACCTTCCCAAATGTCTCATGCAGTGATTATTTACGCCGCACACGTCGCTGCATGATTGTAACATCATTCTCCATAGTGATGAACCTCTTAGCTATTCCTACCCCGCAGAAAATTGCAGAAACACCCTGATATCGGGCGAAAGATAGTCTTGAGTTGGCTGACGAACTACTAATGGCTTGAGCAAGCACTTCCAACATTTAAAGACCTTGAAGGCTGGAACCCCTTGAAATCTTTAAATTTGTCAAACGAGGCTCAACATGAATCTTGTTATGAAAGCCAATGGCAACGGACCACTCAAGAAGCCCCCCGCTGATTTCGATAACTTCAATAATGAAAAGGATGCGGATATAATTTGTCCAATTAGATACATTTACGATTATCTCCCTCGGAAGCCAAAATGGCTGCAGGCACAACAGATCACTCTCAATGAAGCGCTGCAACTACAATCAGTCGAAATACAGGGAGATACCAGGAACAATAGAATTTCCATCTACCCTGAAGCAGCTCATCTACCAGTTCACACTGGGCTTGGAACTTTTCGCCAGAGCAAACACTGGAAAGCAAATGAGAGGGCGACGAGAGAGTTACTCGAGTTATTTGCGCAGGATCAACACTGCAAAGATGCTATGCTAACCAATGGACAATCTATGGCAACTCTTGCCAGACGCCAATTCCGAAGTCCGGTTTTGGATACATATAGTCGCTTTAGCATTTACATGTTTGCTGATGCGGATGAGAGTCGAATCCAGCTTCTGGCTCAAAGCGTGATTTTGATCTTCATATTTGATGGTAAGTCGATTTTTCTAGTCTCAACTTGTCCTCTTGGAGCCTGTTCTCACAATCTTCAGACATATGGGAAAATGCATCCTCAGAATTTGTAAGTACACCTCCAAGTATATCGTTCAAGTCAGCAAGCTTATTGCTCGAAGACCAGCCAGGTGCGAGATGATTTCATTGGACGTATCCAGGGCAATGTTTCCAAGTCTATAGCAGATACTCCACTACAGAGACGAATGCATGAAATCAGACAAGGATTCTTAGACGGGGATAAGGAAGACGGAGGAAATGCGGGTGCAGAGGTACTTCAAGAACTTATTGATTTTTGTCGTCATGAGCACCCTGAAGAATTTTCATCTATACGGGAATATCTTGATTACCGTTATTATGACATTGCAAATAGGTAAAAGCAGCCATTCCAATTTTCCGAGTTCTTCTGACAATCGTTCTGATCAGGTTCACGTGGGCGTGTACCAAATTCTCTCTACATTTGAGAGTCGACCTAAATAGTCCAAAACTTCGTCGCCTGTTCGGCTACCTTGGTGATCAAATTTCTATTGCCAATGATATTGCTTCGTACGATAAAGAAGCAAAGCAATTTATTGAGGGAAGAGCGAAGGAGATGATTAATCTAGTACATACTACTATGCAGGTCAATTGTATTAATGACGTTACAGCAGCGAAGTCAATGGCTTATGCCATACAGCTCTGGACCGAGAATGAGATTTTAGAAGAGTTAAGAGCCCTGAGTCGCCAGGGACGACTCAGCGTTGAGGAATGGAGGTTGGTGGACGGGTGTTTGGTTGCTGCTTCAGGAAATCTTTTGACTTCAATTGTGATATCTAGGTATGGAGGTGAGGAGGCAAAGATAATATTGTGATATACAGAGCCCATAGAAGTTTGTAGATTCGAAAAAAAAACCATTCTAAAAAAACCTATTCGAAAGGAATCTTTTCACTAAGAAAGTTCTTTCTAATAAAATATTCATTAGTAATATCCCTCGAGAGTATATAGTTTTCTTAATAATTCTTATAATAAGAATTCTTGTTTTTGCTTAGATAATCTCTTTATTAATTATTCTATTTAGTTATTATCTACAACGATTCCAAGATTAACTAGTAGGTTTCACAGAGCCGACCGACGATGCGCGTGTTTTAGCCGCCCGCTCAACTCGCCAACTCCGAGGGTATTCGCCATACATCTTCAAAGTGGTTCATCACCATCCTATGCAAGTCAAACACAACACCTTGTAACCTCACCTAATATTTATTCCTCGAAATAGTAATCAGAGTCATCAGTACAAACGTTCTTCCATCACGCTTCCGATGCAAAGGACGAATCAAAACATAATAACCAGTAAGTTGCGATGTGATCACATGCGACTCCTGTACTTTGCAGCGGAAGTAAATATCGCACTCATTACGGGGCCGTTGCTAATAGCTTGTTAATAGTTGGTATCGATCGAATACAGCCTTTGAGTTAATTAATCATGCCTCTGGTAGAACTCAATCCTGGAACCAGTGATTGGCACGATGTCAAATATGCTGCCTTAATATTATGGAGAGCCTCTCAAATTCCAGATCTTGTTGCTCTGCAGAGCGATCTTCGCAACTTTGATCGAATTTTCGCGTCAACAATTACCAATGTTTACACCGGTATCAATCAAAATCGCAAAGCCATTATTGTCAACGACCAGGATATAATCACTATTGCCTTTGAAGGGTCCACGGATGAGGAGATTTTGGTAAACCTATGGACTGATGGTAAGGGTCCGAACTGGTGGGATCTTCCATATCCTATATACGTTGATGGAAATAGAGTCCACAGTTTCTACTTGGATATGTGGAATGGAATGAAAGCTGCCGTCTTTTCTACTCTTGATGACATAGTCACTACAATGCAGGATCATAACATAGCGCCAAAGAAATTGATTATTGCTGGATACTCCATGGGCGGAGGGGTGAGCACGTAAGGCCTCAATTTTTGCATCATATTTCTAGAAAATAAGCTGATAGGTAATCGATAGTCTGGGATTCACGAGTATTGTTGAACATGTCCGTCACACCTATGGCTCTCAATGTTCATCTCCTCAAGACTGGGCGTCCGATGACAACCTCGAATCGCTTATTCAACACCTCACATTTGCAAGTACGGGAGCAGGGGATATGGGCTATCTCACACTACTCAATGAATATTACGAGCGGTACCATATCCGAGCTTGGGATTTTTTGAACCACTGGGATCGGACACCACTTTTTCCTCCGTATCGTTTCCGAAACTGGAGAGGCTATCGTTACATTCTGCCGCAAGAAGTGACTTGCAATTTTGAGGCTGAATTTGGTCCGATGGGCCATTTGATTCATGGATATTATCAATCTGCGGAGTGGATGGCCAAGTATGGCTTGGATCAGGTTAAAACAGCCTACCGCAGTGGTTATGCTTAGCTGGTCCAAGTATTGACATTAGTATATGGTAGTGTTATTGTGTCTGACTTGAAGTTGATAGTGCAAATAACAGTTTGATAGCTATCTCAATCTGTGACTGTAGGTGTGGTATGGAAGAAAAGTTTCAATTTTCACGAATCTATGTACTTTGGCCATTTGATTATATCTTTCAATTGAACACGCGATTGATCAACAACTGCCGTGGATAATTGTCCATGAGAAGGATCATTACATCTATCGGAGCGTCTACTATATCCACAAACATGAGTCATTACAGTATTATGAATATTCATGAAGTTCCTGAATCGATACTGAGAACTAAAGTCAATGACTCACCCTCAACTACAAGAACGTCGACGGGTAAGTTATAATTTGACTAAAGTAAAAGAGAAAGTAGATTTAGAATTTTTTTCGATATAGATAGATGAGAACTCGCACCTCTATTGACTGCTGCAGGGTTAACGCAAACACTTCTCGATGTTCGTTGGCGAACTCGAGACACATCAACTCACGCAATGTTAAACAGGATCGAAGAATTATTTTGATCGCGTTTATGATTTCCGAACAGCTTCATGAAGATCTTAAGATTGTTGAGATAAAAAATTTCTTTTATTTTTGTAAAAAACTTTATTACTTTTAGGTTACTATATCTATTTTAAACAAAAGTTATAAAGTTTTATAGATAAAAAATACATATAAAAATTAAAATTCAAATATATTTACAATTAATATATCTACTTAATTTAAATATTCTATGAAAAAATTATTTTTAAAATGAGTTTTCAATTGTTATTATAAAATACTTTATAACATTTAGCTTGTTATATTATTCTTTAATAATAGTTATAAAGTTTTCTAAATAAAACTTTTATTAAGAATCAAAATTGAAATATATTTGTAAACGATTTACATATATATATATACAATTTGAATACTTTTCAAAGAAATTATTTTAAAATTAGTTTTCGTTTATTTTTTATAAAATATTTCATAACTTTTAGCTTATTATATATCTTTCTAATAAAAGTTATAAAGTTTTTCCAATAGAATATATATATATATATTAATAAAGATTTTACTTCTTTTTAAAGGATATATATATATTTAATTCAATGTTCTCTCTGAGAGAATCTTCTGAAAAATAATCTTCTATTATTTTCAATTAATAATTTATAACGTTCATTTTGTTATATGTATTTTTAATGGAAGTTACAAAGTATTTTAATATAAAATATATATAACGTGATTTATCAGTATGCAGATCATATCAATATGCGAGTCACTTTTATCTCAACTCACTCTTTCAAACTCATATTATTTAATAATTATTAAATCAATTAATTAAAATTATGAAAATTATAATAATCTAGAATTTATTATATTATTTTAATAAAGTCTTGTATTATATTCAATCTTTCTGTATTTATTATTAAATTAACATCTAATTTCTTTCGAAAAAGAAGATTCATAATGAAATGAAAAACCATTTCAATATTTAAAAAATATGAATCAAAAAAGATAATACTATTCTTGTAAAAGACTTTATAAATTTCAAGCTAATTTAATTTCTTTCAATGAAGATTATAGAAATCTCGTAATAATTTAGATAAAATTAAATTCATTCGTAAATTCATCTTCTAAATTAAATAAAAGTTACTGAATACAATAAAAAATCAAAGAATATCAATTCGATAGAAAACTTTTTAACTTTTGATATATTATAATATCTTCTTTCAAAAGTTACAAAGTTCTTGAAATGAATACTATATAACAAAGGTAATATTTAATTCATTTAACTTCTCTTCTAATGGTAGTAGGAAATAAGGAATCAAATTAAAAAACAATTAACAATATTTTCATTAAAAACTTCACGACCTTTAATAGTCTATAATCTTTTTTTCTAAAAGTTATAAAGTTTTTTAGATGAGAAATATATATAAAAAATTTAAGATAATTTCTTTCTATGAAATAAATCGAAATTAAATAACTAAGTGAAAAAAAGAATGAAATTAAAAATTAACTAATGATCATTTGACTTAAAGCTTTCTAACTTTTATTTTATTATAATTTTAGTTTCTAAAGGTTATAAAGCTTCGACAATAAAATATATATAATCAATTTAATAAAGGAATCTCGTTATAGTATAAATGAAATATAAATAGTTAGATTGAAGAAAAAATTATATATCTAATTTTTAAAAAAATTGAAGTTAGAGTTTTTTAAAAATCAACTTTATAATAATCCTTAATATAACTTTACAACTTTCACTACAATGAATAGTTTACTATTCAAGGTTATAAAGTATTTCGAGAAATTATTATAAAATGAATTTATATTCAATTATTTCGTAATAATCTTTTTGAAGTTTACTAAACTAAATAGTTTCTGTTCAAAGTTATAAAATTCTTTTCAAAAATATATTATAATTAATCTACATTCTATTTCCCAACTAAAATCAATTAAAAATTAGTCGAACAATATATTTCAATAATACTTTACAACTTGTAGTTTGAAACTACTTGATTCATTAAAGGTTATAAAGTTTTTTAATAAATTATTGATAGATGAATTAAGAGGAGAACTTTATAAGAAATAATATATATAGAAAGAATCATTTCAGAAATATCATTTTGTATCATTTTGATCGAAGACTTTATAACCTTTGTCTTCTATTTAGCCTCGCAAACAAAAGTTATAAAGTTTTTTCAAAAAACATATATAGTATTATTGGAAATCACATGTATAGCACGTATATATCATGTATACACTACTATAGAACTCTATCATCCGGGCTTTCCGGATATATAGACTTAATAATATATTTAATATATTACTCTTTATGCGTAACTTACTATCTATTTTTAACCGATTATGAACGCTATGTTATAAAAAGCTTTATTTTATCTTTTTTATAATATATCTAATACAAAATTTCATATTATTTAAGTATAATGAGATTGACTACAATCGAATTATTTCAATTGAAATATAAATCTTTTGTTGTTTTTAAAAACAACAACTAAATGGATTTTTATAAATATATTATACTTGCGATACTGGAAACTAATACACTAGAAGTGTATACAAAGGAAAAAGAGATATTAACAGATTTTCATTTAGAGGTTACAGATTAGAAAAAGAAGAAGGGAATTATTATTATTATTATTATCAATTTCCTGTTTAACCCTAATATATTGCTTTCAGTTGGTATCTTTTCTTATAGTAGATAATCTCCTAAATGCTTGAGTGAAACTATTGATATTCAATAATACTATGAATCCTTAATATGTTCAGAATCTTCGAAAAGTATTCATTTACGAGTAATATTCTTTTTCTATTCCAATAGGTTATGAGCCCGGGTGGCGCAGTGGTAGAGTATATAATTTGAGATTATAAAACATAAAAAGACCTATACTCTATAACTTGTAATTGAATAGAAAAATAAAACAAATCCATATAGTTATATACTATCGAAAGTAGCAGCGGTAAGTTTTGTGTTAAGATATATAGAAGCTAGCTCTATAAAGCTATAGGGTATACTATTTAAGAGGGTGTATTGGAAATTATATATATAATATTAAGTAGTATGCTAGTAACAATATCCTTTTTCTATTTCCAAGAAGTATAGTTACTTTTAAAAATAATTATTTCAAAAAATAACTGAAAACTTTATAACTTTTAATCTCTTCTTGATTTTTGCAATAAAGGTTATAAATGTTTTCGAAAAAAAATTATACAATCAGATTAATATATAATTTTGTTTGAAAAAGAACGTATACGAAAAGAATTAAATATGAAAATGATTTAATATTATTTTAATTGAAAACTTTAAAACTTTTGATTTCTTATAAGTTCTTATGATAAAAGTTATAATTTTTTTTGAATGAAATATATATAACTAAAGTAAAGAGCAATATTGAAATAGAAAAGAAGATAAACGAAAGCCCTTCGCGGTCTGATGTCCGCGGAATAAGTTAACTAAATGAGTATTTATTGCTCAGCAGTGCTTCCTCGCCCCGGAAAACATCCGTTCATTCACTCTTCATAAATAAATAAAAGACTCTGACTCTTCAAACTTTCGTAGCAAGTTCCAGACCCAGGCATTCAATCTGATCGATACTAAAAGTATCAACGTATGCAGACCCCTATTACATACACTCCATTCCAAGTACTTTTGAATCGTTACGTACAGCCATCAGACCATTAGAGACATGTACATCATCATTTTGTATAGAATCCGAATTGAAGTCAACAGCACTCAACTCATCAGTTACAAAGCTCTGCGCATAATAACGCTGAAAGGTCTCCGCTCTTGATCATGTGAAGTATGCCGTAGCACCATTGGCAATATTGTAAGAGTTGAGGCCCCGGCTTATCGCACACCACCCATTTTTCGATTTAATTTTTTAAAATTTAATAATAAATCAATTACACAATATAATCTTATAAAACTTGAGTATTATATTAATAAATAATAATTAATCCTTATATTTCAATTACATCTTCAATCTTGCAAATCAATCTTTTAGTATATAACCTGAAATCTAAAGGATCTACCCTATTCCAAAGAGTTTGTAATTCATATTTCAATTTCTTTATAGAAGTAGATACAAATAATAGCTTTTTTAGTTCCTTTTTCATCCATCACTATACTTTCTCAATTGAATTAAAATTCGAAAAGAAGAATAACTAATCAAAGCCTTATACACTATACTCCAATCAAGCTTTATAAATATATCCGGAATATATTTTAGAATTATTTTTTATAAATATATATTCAAATCCTAATTTATCGAATAATAAAAATATAATAGATTTAAGAATTTATTATATATATAATTTGAAAATAATATCTTTATTACCCTCAAATCTTTCCAAAAAGATTAATGGAGATTTATAATTCCAGCCAATTATACCCTATATTATCATCAATACTCTTTTTAATTGATATATTAATTTAATATAATTAATATATCTTTTTTCATTAATTTGTTTAGTAATCTATATTCTATCCGTTTTTCTTAATTCGAAAATGCTTTTATTCGATTATATAATTAATCTCCAATTCCTTTCTTTTAATTTAATAACAATAATATTACTAATTTCCTATTAATAATATTTATATATAAAATCTAATCTCTTTTTTGTTTATATTCTCGAAATAAAGGATTTAGAATATACTATACACTTTTTATATCTATATCAATATAATTCCTTTTGAATTATATATATTAAAACCTCAATATCAAACATATTTTTAATCTATTCAAAAGTTATTCTCTTTTTACTTTAATCTTTAGCAATTATTCTTATAATTCAATAAATCTTTTTAGTAATTATTATAGACTTTTAATAAATCTTCCCTTTTCGAAATCTTCTAATTGAATTGGATTTAATTATACTTCTTATAGTAGATTGTAATACATCTAAATTTGAAGCGATCTATTCCTAGGATTTTCTATCAATTCTAATTTAAATAACTTTAGAATATTAAGAAGTATACCAATTTTAATTAAATTTATAATTATTATTTTCGTGATTATATTCAATATCTATTTTGAATTTGAATCGAAAATAATGAATTTTAGAATAATAATTGAATTTTTAAAATAAGGTGTGCGAAATTAGGTGACTACCCTAATCTCGCTTAAATGTGCGATAAGCCGGGGCCTCAACTCTTACCATCATCGCGGGCTTGAGGGAAAATTGTCGTACGGGCCATTCCAGAGGATGCCGGAGAGGATTTTGACCGCGGCGATGCTGGCAACCTGAGCGCCAGATTAGATCCAGTTCCATCACGACCGCTTGTCAAGCGTGGAAACCAAGGCTTTATGGACAATGGCGTGGCTACCACACAAGGAGACGTAAGAGGCCATGTCGCCGGAGAGCTCGTTGCAGAGGAGGTTCGGGCTGCTGGCTTGGGTACTGATGATGGTCCCAGCTCCAGTCACATTTAGAAAGCCGATAAAGATTTGAGACTCATCGCCTGAAGCATAGGCTGTTGTATGAGCTGCGAGAGCTTCCTTAGCTGCGGTACCGGTTGGGGCAAGGTGGTAATCAAAGTTTGTAGCATCGGCACCGAAGATGGTTGCGGCCACTCGGGACGGATAAACGTAGGTGTCGAATTTCGCAGGTTCAGAGAGAACAAGTGAAGCTGTTGGGAACGCAGAGGCGCCAACTACGATTCTTTGGTACAGCGCAATGCCAACGGCGGTACCGGCAATACTGATAGCAGCTTTAATGATTTGCTTGCGGGACATTGTACGTAATGGTTGAACGTATTCACTATTTGGGAAATTCGGCTATAAGTAGAAGAAAGGAAGATGAAACTGATGACGAATTTTCAGGATGAGAGAAGGCTGCCATTTATACAATATGCTTCAATAGTGACCTAGGAGATAGCTGCATACTTGCTAGCATACGGCCGCCCCATGTCTGAATCAAATAGGCAGCTTTGGAATGGTGCATTTTCGCCGAGTTTGCTGACAGGAGAGAGCTGCCTATTCGGATCAGGTGAACCGTTCCGTCGGTGAATAACTAGCTAAACCGTAAATATTCATCGTGTCTTGCGTGCTTCTAGCATAAGCGCCAGCTAAACAAGCGAAGTGGATTGGTTTTTCTGGTCAAGTTGCCCGCAATAAATAAGGCCGGTTTGATCACTGACTCGAAATTTATACGAATACAGCCGGATATGTTGGAAGTGCTGGGGTGAAAGTGATATTTCATATTTTTGTGGCGTCTCTACGCATACGAAGAGAGAATTCGCCGAAAATAAGAGTGCAAGTGTGCTTACGAGCTCCGATAGAGATGAAAATTAGGCATAAGGACTGGGGAGAGATGAAAGACCCCACCGAGTATACCCAGTGAGTGCATACTGACTGCATCGCAGCCACAGAGGAGTCTTACCGCTCAGGTCAGGATCTTATTTGGTCGATTAAATCTCCTGGCAATTACATTAAAGAGGCACCAACCTGTCATATTGGAAGGTTAGCGTCCTTCGTGCTTAAACAAGCCTTTTTGTCTCTTTGCCTTCGAGCCTCCCTGGGTGACAGAGCTTGACACGAGTTCCTTTCTCAATAGCATATATCTTGCTCTTTCTTGAAAACTCTCGAACTGGAGTCCCCACGCTTTCAGTATATCTGTTGGTATCACTTTTTGTGGTAGGCGCTTCGACACACCAGGGCTAGCGTAGGTCGCTTGACCACGTTAGCCCCCCAGAAGTATATTAGCGCTTCTACTCGTGCGGCCAGAAAACATACAGCACTCCACCTAAATATGGGCCACTACTCAATTTTTATCTTACCACCTTATGGGACGTGCTTGTGTGGAGTGTGGCATACTTTTTGGTCGCACAAGTACTACTTGTTAAATAAACCAACTAAAACCTCAACGGGCCCTCTCGACGACACAACAGCACCCTGCGTGAACTCACATGCGGATGTGCTGGATCAGAGGCAGGTACTTGTAGTGAATCGACAATCACGCTGAATTAGTCCACTGATCCACTACTAGCACCGATGAGTACCCATGAGTATAAACGAGGATTTTAAGTTATTTATAATGATAGGTATGAGGGCCCTCATTGATGATGACCTAGCGACGGGTATTGAAAGATTTATACGAAATGCACTCATTGCGATTACTTTAGAGACCCCACTACGATGGATATCGAGGTCTCTCTCTCATTGTAATGTTTTTTCGGTGTGGCTAGCCCCTCCGAGATAAAGCTCTGCGGGGATTTTTCATATACGGCACGGGCTCTATTCTTTAAATACCAGCTAGTATGTTCCGGAAGATCTGGATTTAGGATAAAATAGGCAGGAGGCTAGGAACGGACGGGAAGTGATGGGATCTTCGAGAGAAAACATCTCCGTGGGCCGAAATAGAAATGGTAAATCTGAATCTGCAAATAATGAGGATATATAGTACAGAATGAAAAAAGGTAGTACTGAAAAAATAAGAATGAACTCGAAGAATTACAAAGTGAAAGGATTGATACGTTAAAATTCAGGTCTACTAATACAGAATCCGTCAATCTTTCGCCGTGACTCAAGCTTCCAATCTATAACACATCATCCGTCTAAGCCACCAACAGCTTTCAATCTGAGAGTCTCTCGGTTCAGGGTTTTTGTTGCGCGTCAAAAATGAAGAAAATGGCAAATGTAATCAATAATAGAGCGCTTTCTGCCACCATTTACATTGCCCCCTCACCAAAGGATCAACAGAGATAGTTCCCAAGAACGAAGAGTTGATACTCAAAACGTTCGATTCACTGCCATATTGAGGAAAATCAGGAACCCTTCTTCCATTCGGAGTACCAGTAGTCACAAAATTAACAATGTAATCTTGAAGAGAGTGCCGCACCTCCGAATGCAGGCTTTCCATCCCATGTGACACTGCCCGGGCCATTATAAAATGTGTAAGCAACATCATCTGCGTGTAATGCTGGAGGTACATCAAATGAATAAACGTATGACTTGTTTCCAACTTTAGCATTCAGGTATCTCGTGTTGCATGCAAAACAGGACTCGGCACTAGTAACAGCTGCCCGTGAAATTTCACTCGTATAACCGTATTTCCCATCGAATTGGTCGGGATAAAGGGCGAATATCTCATAAATAAACGACTCGGGAACCCTTGGAAACAACCATTCAAGATTGGAAACATAATCTGCTTGGTTCAAAATATACGGTGAAGTGAACAAAACACCTTGATCATTTCCTCCTATCATCAATGCCAGAGAAGTGTGGAAATTGTTATCCGCTAGAACTTGACCAGGGAGTGCTGGTACAAAGGTTCCATCGACAGTTGGACCGAATGTATAAAGGCCATAATGAGAATTTGCAACGATAAAATCATTGACTTTAGCCAATATCCGAGCATCCACTGTTCGTAAATCATCAATAGTTGTAATCGATCTATTTGAAAAGCTACTTGCGTCGTTCAGGACGTAATTTGAGATTCGTTCTTGTTGATAACTTCCTGGATTTGGCTGAAATCCCGGACTTTGTAGGATAGCTTGTTGAAATGGCGGGGGACCTCTCATTCCACCATACGCAGTTATTTGATGTAGTATAGATCCACCGCCGGCAGATTCACCCATGACAGTGACTCGGTTCTTATCACCTCCAAATAAGTAAATGAACTCCTGGACCCATTCTAAAGCTAGTCGTTGATCGAGTAGACCTGCATTTGCATCCCCATCGGCTTTAAAAGTGGTCCACCTAGGAAGCCCTAACAAAATCAGCATGAGTAATTTAAGAACGATCATAATTATACTAACATAAAGACCAAGTCTGTAATTTATGGAAACATAGACGAACTCTTCCTTTAACACCATTGAATTCTCGATTAAACCTGCAGGATTAGTTTCATGCTTGTATCCACCAGCGAAACCACCACCATCAATCCAAACTAGAACGGGGGCAGTAGGTTCATCATCGCATGTCTCAATCTTTGAAGTTTTATCGAAAATCGTAGAAGGCACCATCAGAAAATAATGATACCCTGTGGTGATTGAGTCACAAATCGCCCAAGACGCCCTTTCCCAATGCCCTCAAACTGCTTTCATATCTCCCTGGACTATGGTCTAACAGCATGCTTCCCCCAAATTTGACTTCACCGAACCTCTTTTCTACATCCCTCACGTACTTTAATACACTTCTAGTTGCTGGTTTACCCAACCCGTCTTCCCCTCTAATATTTTGTCCGTCGCTCATGTCACTTTTCCTGGTGAAAGCGTTTCGTTTCAGGACAGCCATGCTCTCAACCACAAAAACCTCTCCAGGTGGTACCAGCTTATTACTCAACATACAAGCTCGGAGCGCTTTGAGTGCAGCATACGCCCACTTATCTTCCTCTTCTTCATCATTTCCATGACCAGATCGCCCATACCACCTTTCAGTGAATGAATTGCTCATCCCCGTCCATACCCTTCTCTTCACCTCACCTTTCGCACCCGAGTTATCGTTCTTGAACGCAAGAGCAACTGCTTGAAGATCGTGAAGCAAACCGAGGGAAAGATGAGGGACAAGATCATTACCATTAACGACTGTTGTGATGAGACCTCTAGTTGCAGATCTTAGAGATAGAGATACCGTAGCAGGGGGACCATAAGCATAAACATGGATTGGTCGACCCGGTGGAAGGTGTAGTATTTGAGAAGAATGATCAGTAGCGTCAAGAGATGTGGATACATGTTCGGGATGATAAGAAGTAACGAACGATGTGCCATTGACAGCAGGTTCAGAAACCATTATAGCCAACAAAGTACTTACACCGCCACCTAATGAATGTCCACACATAACCAGACCATAATCTGGAAATTCCTCAAGTGCTGCTTTTATTGTGGCCATAACACGACCTCCACCGCCATGAAGAAGTCTACGGGCAGATGCATGAATCCCCTTATGGACTTTGTAAGCTTTACCACGCCAAACCAATTCATCGTAGTCACAAGTCATATCGGCTAGGACATCTTCAAACCCTAGAGTACCACGACATGTGAGAACTATAGCTTGTGATTGATGATCTAGTGATACATAATGAACCATTGGAACACCAGTATTTGTGAGTCCACTAGAATCAGTCCCACCTTGAGGATCAACAAATGAAGAAAGAAGAATAGTGTCGGCAGGCAGTTGTGTATGAGATGAAAATGATTGATGTTCAAGATGATGTATAGCATTAAGCTCTTGTCTTGTACTAGGATCCGAGATCCCCATTACTCGAAGAAAATTGGAGCCGTAAGAAGCAGATGCAAATTTGACGAAACGGGTGATGTTCTGTATGATATGACGCTTTGGAAAAGTGCCATCGATCTTACCAGTACGCATCAGGGAATCTAATGCTTCGCTACCTTCAAATATACCCTTTTCTCTTCCAAAACTTGGGATGAGACAAATCTCTGAATTGTTTGTATTCAATGTAAATATACTTTCTTCATTTGAATGTGTGCGTCGATGGCTTTTGGGTGTTGAAAGTGAATTTTCGAGGGTCATACCCCTCTCCGATCGTAACTTCATGGCATTATTTTGGCCAATAAAACGGTTCCTCGGTGTTGCTGGGGAATGAGGACGGCCTTGGTCAAAAGAATGGATTGAATAAGTGTCAGTTTGAGAAACCATTGAATCTTTTCGTTGTTCATGAACCGTATAATAGCTGGTTCTGGAGGGGGTGCGTGGTAAATCAGGCTGAATCTTATCAAGATTTTCCGACGTCAATGGGGTCTGATTTCCACGTAACGGTGTTGAGGAGCCTGCAGTATTCCTTGGCCGCTTCTGTGGAATTGATAAATGGGCTGAGGTAGATCTAACTGTTGATGCATGAGTGGGGTCTCCCCATGTTGGACGAGGCCGAGGTGGAAGTTTGGGTTTGCTGTCCTCTTTACTTCCATCTTTGTTGAACAGATTGGATAACTTGGTACTAGATCTTCCCTTCAAGGCCTGGCGAACAGAAGTTTTCTTATCTTGTCCTTCCATCTTTATTTCATCGGTCTTCGATTTTTTAGATATTTGATTGTTCGAAATCGGCTTGAGGAAAATCTGTTGAGGACTATCATCTGGTGATGTTGAACTGATTGGCTTTCTTGATCTCTTTTGATTTGCCAAGTTGTCCGAAACCAAAGAAGACATTTCCGTACTTACTATACATTTATCGTCTAAGCCACCAGGAAGTGAAAGCCTGGGTATTTTGGATTTGCTACCAGTAGTTCTTCGGCGAAGATTGACAGGCGAGTATTCGTCTTGTATAAGCAAACCATCGTCTGCATAAGTCGCTTTGAGTTTGTTTGAATAGGCGAAGCTGCTAGAACCGTCGCTGTCCTGGTCATCGGCCGAACTATTATCACTTTCCACATTCTTCTCAATAGCTTGGAGTAACTCGTGTTCTGCAACACTCGTATTTCGCAATCTATTTCCTACTATTCCATACACGACTCTATATCTCGGGACTGGTGTAATTTCAGGTTGTTTGTTCCCCGTGATTAGATCCACATTTTCAAGACGAATAGCATGTTCTTCCAGTATCTCCACACCGGGAGGTGGCAAAAAAACAGGAGGCTCAAACCCTGAAACTTCCACGGTGATTGTTTTTGTGGTTGTTGTTATGGTAGAGGTCGTGATGGAAACAGAGGCATCAGAAGGTAGAGACTTGATTAGCCTCTGTCTCAATACACTCTCCACTTTGTCCTCCCCATCATCAACTTGACTTGGCTCCTCTCTTTCAATCGTCTCTAACATCTCACCACCTGTTGTATTCATGAAAGACAATTTGGAAGGATCTCCTTGAATTTCGGAGGAATCTCCTGATATCATACCGACCACATCCGCTCGCCGGCCATCATCGAGTACAACCACATCCCACAGAACCTCCTCGTATTTGTTTTCTCGACATTCCAGGTCCGTCAATTTACGACACCATCTTTGTAATAATGCCAACCCACAAATACCCAACAAAAGATCGCTTACACTAACCTTTTCTCCTTCCACTCCTGTGGCGGGGTTCTGAAACTCTCGGCGAATCAATGTAATGATGCTTGCTATTGCTCTCGAAGAATCAGTCGAACCAAGAATCGAATCCAGTGTACCAAGTAGCTGCTGTGAAATGTCTGTGGCTGAAGAGAGGGCTACAGAAGAAAAATGAAAACTAGTTGAAGCAGCGAATGATATTCCTGTAATGGTGGCGTGTAAATTCGCAATACTTCGTTCCAATAGCCCTTCTGCTTCCAACTTTCCTAATTCTCCAGTACTTCGATTTGCAACGTCCTTTCCAGCACGATGTAGTATTCCCTCGATAATAGCTCTACTGACTTCTAACCCCGTGAGTGTTGTTACTCGTGCACCGTCTATAGCCAGGCCTCCTATGAATGTGCCAAGTCGAATATAAAGAGAAGATGATCTCGTCACCAGGCTAATAGCAGTGGCGATAGGTGAAGGAAGAAGCGTCGATTCTTGTGTTATCTGCGGCAGATGTTCATAGTGCATCACTGTATTGTCCTCTGTTCCCTCTATCTCCTCTGCCTCATGCGGTAGTCCTTCATCCAGAGCTTCTAGAGCTTGAGGCTCTAATTCTTTCAAACTCATCGATTATGCTATATGTGGCAAATTGGGGGGTATCGATTATGTCTCGGGAATTAAGACTTCCTCGACATTGGTCCTACAAATTCATGATCAAAGTAAATGAAATCGAGGTCGTTGTACCTGACAGGACTGAACATTTGTGGTACATATTATTTCCCATCATGTAGGATGAAGATCATTGAATTGTGGCGGGGTGTTGGCCATGGAATTTCAAGATCATTTGACATGTGATAATGCGTAGTGACCTTGAGAATGATGTTGTGATAGCAACCATACATGGTAGTGAGGAATGTGAAGATTTTGAGAAACCGTACCTACCTAAGGATGTGCACTTACACTCTCGTAAAATAGAGACAGTTGCCGGTGTAGTACTGGTTTGATTGAAATGTGACTCTCAAGAAACCTCCCTAGAACTAGACATTCGACTTCAACATGATTCCCATGATGACCGAGCGCAGAATTTTCATTTTCTTGTCAATTTTGAAGAGAAATAAAGTTCCGCACTTTCGCATATATTATGTGAGTATTGTGTTGGTGAAGCAGAAGTATTGCTAACTTGTTGATCTAATCCTTCATGTAAAATTGGAATGGTAATTAATTCCATTGTGTCGACACCGCCCGTTCGTATATATGTACAGCCACAGTTTCTGATCTCAGCCTTGTCTTTACAGCCTTCCATGTCAGCCACTAATGTCGCTTTATTCTAGCGGCTAACTTGCTTCGATTGCTGTAGCTCTCCATTACAAAGTTTCTAGAATTCTTTGGTACCGTCAATATCCCTCACATATTTACCCTAACAAATAACAGACCGCATTTCCTCATACATGCGACAGGATGTCTGAAAGGGGTCAAGGTCAACATAGAGGTGGCGGACGTGGAGGTGGTAGAGGTCATGGTGAACACAGAGGTGGCAGGGGAGGTGGTAGAGGAGGTCATGGTGGGGAGAGGGGTGGACATGGCGGGGGAAATTTCGAGAAACCAAAGAAGGAGAATATCTTGGACTTGGGAAAGTACATGGATAAGCAGGTCACAGTCAAGTTTAATGGTGGCAGACACGGTACGTTATCGGTTGCATTGATACACTCGAAATTAACTGACATAAATCCTCCTTAGTGAAGGGCACATTGAAGGGTTATGATGCTTTGATGAATTTGGTATTGGATGATGTGGAGGAGAAGCTAACTGGTAAAGTATAATTTTGTTTTGCCAACCCCATTTACTGACTTAGTCCTTTCGCAGATGATGAAGGAACCGAAGCCTGGAGATCATTGGGATTAGTGGTTGCAAGAGGAACCTTACTCATTGGAATAAGTCCAGTTGATGGTAGCGAAGAAATCGCGAATCCTTTCGTACAACAGGAAGAATGAGAAGAGGATAAGAGGGTAGAAAAAAGTTACAGGTGAAAGGCAATGAAATCCACAAGAACAACTCAATGCGCTTCAAGGGAAAACCAGATACGCCCACATCAAACCCGATTGTTTACAAGCGCCACCTAAATGGATGCAGATACGATATCCGAAGGTCATCGAGGTGAAAGATATCTTGGGAATGATACGAATATACCGAATGAAACATGACGTTGAACATCTGGGCTTTCATGAATAAGACGATGTGATATGATGCTACCAAGTATGGGTAGCGCGGAGTTGAAAGATCTTGTGATGGGCTTTCCAAGCAATCAACGATCCTCTGGTCATCTTAGGTACCCAATGCAAGTGCAGTGAGACCTAGCGGCTGCGCCAATAATCGTTTTCTTGTCATACGTTATCTGGAAGACATCTGAAGTGATGTTGAGTGTGCTCTTCGTTGAACATTCAACATCTCTTGGACGCTTGAACTGGTGCAAGTGATTTCATTGAGCTCAAATATATCATCGAAGTCGAATGTCTCGCTAGATTTCAATGTCTACTTGGGTTGGGAAAGAAATTTTTTCACTGCAAATTCCAGCCCAGCCCAATCATGCCTTCAAAAATAACGATATAAATCAGCCAAACCCTCGTTTGGTTTTTTTTCCCTTTGACTATAGGAATGCGCTTGTAAAGCTACGTCTTAAAGCTTCGTAAGTTTGACTTTTATAACTTTCCACTATCTTCAACAAAGTAATTTACCATATAGATCTGTTATCTACTTTGCCGGGTCCATTTTGATATCCTAATTTCCCTCATGGATTTCAATTCATCCCTTACCTGCAATGAGTTATGGAATTATCCCATATACCGGTATCTGAAAGAATGTCGTGGTGAAAATTCCTCATTTTTCTTTCAGCTTGAGGTTCATCAATGCGTTTACATTTTGCATGAATTACTCGTACGGGAACCGGCCATGATTCGCTATACTTATCCCCCTTTTTTCCTACAATCCCTGATCAACATTTGTTAATTCCCATGATAATTATCCACAATCAGATGAAGATGATTCGCAGCATAAGTAGCATATTTTAAAGAGCTCAATATCATCATGCGGTTTCTGGCCGATGATGTGGGAAGTAGTAGAATATTTTCGAATGGCTATAAGATTTCCAGGCCAACAGCATTTTTATGAGTTACTTTACCCCGTCTTGGAATGTGGTAAATATCCAACAAAAATTAAATACTTATGACACCTTGTCAAACAATCGAGGATCAAAGCAATAAAATTTATCTTGGAGGTTTAAAGTCCTGTTGTGTTCATAATATTCCGTTATTTTGAAAGATCTCAAGCCAATTCGCAACAGCAATCAAAAGTCTCAAATCTTCAACAACTTTCAGGCTGCTAATAGCGCCAATACCGATGCCAAAGTACACAGTTCAGCGTAATGACGGTGTGGTAGCGACAAAGAGGCATCCAAATGTTATGACGCAAGTTCCGATAGAATCTACATATCAATCCGAAATGTTTCCACTGTTTCAGCTTTACCCGCGAATGCCGACAACACCACCCAGTCATCAAGCAACTGCTCACAAACTCGCATCTTTACTTCAAGAAGTAGCTTCTGTAATGGACACAATTACTGGGGAGAAGATGATGTGTGGGGAAGAATTGGATGGGTTGGAAGGGGATGTACTTGGCGGTTTGACAGAAATGGTATTAATCATGGAAGAGGAAGTCGAGGGGATGATTGAGTTAGCTGATATTGTGGAAGAATATGTGGAAGAATTGGAAATGGCAGAGCTAGATGGGTGGGTTGCTGACCTTCCGCCTTTGAAAATTAAGGGCGGCAGCAAGGCAGGAAAGGGATACTGGGATTCTGAAGATAACGCAACAAGTATATGGAGAGGAAACGATGGTAGCTTTCCCTTAGGAGATGGGAAAGAGAGTATTAGAATAGGACTAGATGATGCTTTCAAGGGACGTATAAGCTTGGGTGGATTATTGGACGAAATTGAGGAGGATGTTTTGGGATGGAGAGTAAGGGGAATGTCCGTAAATTCTGACAGCTATGTGTCTGATGAACGGTCAGGGGTGGTTATTGGATCTGGGGTTTCTGTTCCCATCAAAATCTACAGGAAAGATGTGATCAAACCGACCGTCATCTCACTTCCTCCGAGGAAGATTGATCCAGAGACGAAATTTAGAGACTCCGCGTTGGGACTTATGAGTCCTGCTGGCGTTACAAGAAAGCCAATCAAGAAGGAACCTCGAATCGTTACGAAATCTAGTCCAATTGGATTGAGGACTGGTCTTGGATCTACCAGAAGGAAAAAAACAGTCAAAAAACCTCAATGGGTTTGAAGTACCAGGAAATCGCGAATGTATTAAAAAAAGGACGATGAGACAAAACCAAACTAAAATCTAATATGAATTGCTTCGAATTTCCCAGGAGTAAATAATCCATTCCCAATTAAAATAAATCTGTACATGGTATCCTTTTTGTCTTCCGTTTATAACGCTCGCTCTATGCTTAATTCCAAATCAAAATCCAACCAATTCGCTGTGTCTAGAGATCCAAACTTGTTATCTCGGTGCTTATTTCAATGATCATAATAATGAGCCATTTCCAAACCAGCCCTCTTGAACCCACACTTTACATAAAATCCTTCATTAGCTTCACTGCAATCTAATATGCTCTTATAACAACCGATCTTCTCCGCGATAAAGTCCAATGCTTGAATCATCTTCAATCCGAGTTTCTTTCCTTGTTGGTCTTTCGCTACGGCAATGTCTTCGATGTGACCTACGAGACCGAGATTATGGATGCTTTTCATTGAATCAGTATTGATTGATTCTCGGGACTGGCCTCCCAAAAACTAAATATACTCACAATTTCCTTTCCACAATCAAAGCGCCCGTGGCAACAACCTTTCCCTGATCTTCAATGACTAGTAGGTAGTAGCCACCTTTTCCTTGATCGTTATACCAATCGTACCTCTCATTCCATTGCTCTTCGGTGATATCCCCAACAACAGTCAGAACTCGTAAAACGTCTAAAAATCCACGAGCATAATCTGATTTCTGAAGGGCGCGGAGAGTATATGATTCAGGGAGGGATTTGGCAACTTCGGGAGAGACGAGCTCAGGCCCGAAAAGTCCTGCGGTGACTCCATTGGTGTCTGTAACTCCGTTGGCGGAAACCATTGTGTGTTTGAGTGTAATCCTCAGGGAGAGTATGCGAACGGAATTTGGAATAGTTGAGGTAGTTATGTTGAGTCGATTAAGGGTATGATGTGTGTTATCGGGAAGAAGGATAAAGCGCGCGGCTGCCCCTTTTATATCAATGAATGAGATCTGCAAGACTACCTCGTAATTGTTAGTGAGTGGCAGTGCAGTGCGGAAAAGAAAAAATAGGTGTTCTATTTGAGGAAGCTCACGGTATGTGAATTATTGAAACGATGGTAAAAAAAAAACGAGCGTGGAAAATTGGTTGGAAGAGAAGTATGCTGGCTGTTTTGTATGCAGCTGAAGGGTAACCGATTTCCCCACTATGTGCACGTCCCTACTACGTGCACGACTTTGGAAATATCAACATTATGGCTTCAAACATCGATGATATGCCTTTAGAGGCTCGTATAGAGCTTGCATTAGATCATTTGAAAGGGGTTCAAGCTCCTAAATACACCCAGACAGCTAATTTCTTCAAAATTGATCGATCCACGCTCTCCCGGCGGCATAGAGGTAAAACCACCTCGAGAAAACAGTTCCTCTCCGATACGAAACAAGCGCTTTCTAGTGATCAGGAGGAGGTTTTAATTGATCAAATCAACAAGCTGACACAGAGATCTATCCCTCCTACAAGCCGCATAGTCAGAAACCTTGCAGAAGAGATCCTAGGCAGAGAGGTGGGAAAGAACTGGACTAGCAATTTTGTCAAGAGGCATTCAACACGTCTTAAAAGTCGGTATCTCCGTTGCATTGATAATTTGCGTGTGAAAGCCGATAATGTTGCTATATTTGATTACTTTTATGATCTGGTTTGAGCTATTTTCTATTGTTGTTGATCTTTATTACCTAAAACGCTCTTGCTAATACCCCTCTTTTTTTAATTTAGTTGATAAAAGTGACCATAAAATACGATATACGGCCGAGAGATATATACAATTGGGACGAGAAGGGCTTTATGATCGGTATGGGGAGGACTATGAAGAGGATAATGAGTGCTAGCGCCTATAATAGAGGCAGAGTGACAAAAGCTAGGCAAGATGGATCAAGAGAGTTTATTACTCTACTGGCAGCTATATGTGCTGATGGGACAGCTCTCCCTCCCGCTCTTATTTATAAAGGAGACTCAGGGGATCTACAAAATACATGGGTTCAGGATGTAGGGGAGAAGGATAAAGCCTATTTTGGAGCCTCAAGCAATGGGTGGTCGTCGAATGCTTTTGGCCTATATTGGCTTATAAACGTATTCGACCCTGCTACACGTCGAAAAGCAGGTGGAAGATATCGTCTACTTATTGTCGATGGTCACTCTAGTCATGTCAATATGGAATTCCTTTCAAAATGCGATGAATTAAAGATTATTGTCTTAATTCTCCCCCCTCATTCTACACATCGACTACAGCCTCTCGACGTTGGAACCTTCGGTGCCCTTTCAACGAATTACAGTACATTATTGAATGATTTGATGCACAATAGCGGGGGAATTGTTGGTATGACAAAGCGCATGTTTTGGGGCATATTTAAAAAGGCTTGGGAGCTCACTTGTACGAGGCATAATATCTTACGATCCTTCGAAAAAACGGGCATATATCCTATGAATAGGAGTCTTACGATCGACTGTATTGCTCCGGAAGCTCCTTCTACGCCACCTACATCATTTAAAACTCGCAGGGATGCTCTTGCTACACCGTATACGTCAAAAGCGATGCGTAGAATGAAATTAGAATTTCGTCGCGCTCCCACCCATGAGATCACTTTAAAGCTTTTTAAGGCTGCAACTACATTAGGAGCTGAAGCTTCTATACAGGGGCATAGATCTAAAGGTTTAGAAGAGGCTCTAAAGCTTGAAAAAAGGAAAAGAGCTCGTTCAAAGCGTTTAAATCTCATTGGAGAGGAGGGGAATGGTGCGTTTTTATGGTCACCCTCTGCTATTATTAAAGCTAGAGCGTATCAAGAAGATAAAGCACTTAAAGAGGAGCAAGAGAAGGAAGCTAAGCTTCAAATAAAAGCTGAAAAGAAAGCTGAGAAGGAACGGAAGGAGATTGAGACGAAAGAGAGAGTATTGCAGAGGGAGGTTGATCGTCAGATTGCACGTGATGCGAAAGAGGAGGTTAAAAAGACTCTAAAATCAACGAAATCTCCAATCAAAAGAGATAAAAAGTTCCCCAAAGCTTCTTCTACTATAGATCTAACATCAACAAAGACTATAGAGCTCTCTGATGCTGTAGAGGCTAATAATTCGAAGGAGAAGGAGGAGGAGGTCATATTGCGATCTAGTAGAGGGCGAGCACTACGAGTTCCATCGAAATTCAAAATCTGAAGATTTTATTATGTTTTTAGATAGTATTATATCTTGTCATTTATCAATTAAATTGCTAGCTCTTTATCTTATAAATTGGAATTGTTATTAATTTTTAAAGTGATTCAAAATGGGTGATCAAGATCGTGCATATAGCAGGGACGTGCACGTAGTAGGGAAATCGGTTAATGTATGTAAATATTGATCGTTGTTCCCAATGGCGGGGCTTGAAAAAGCCTCAGCCTCGCCGATGCTTATTTATGATGATTTGTACTCGTAGGTTCAATAACTTTAATTTGTACCTGCCCTGCCTACCTGGGCATGAATCCAAAATTGAGAACATACCTAGATACAAGGTACGGGATAGTACATTTTGGCTTATGAGTGATAAATTGGTGGGAAGTGCGATATCTATTCTGTGCTTTGTATTGTTCTTTCATAGTCCATGGCCATCCAACTCAATGGCAAGATGGTAAGTGAGGGGAGATCAATCCATCCAAACACATACCGAATATCTTTCTTCACCAATAGTCCAGTAGGTATTTATGCAAGACTTCCTGGAAATCGCTAGGGTAGATGAAAATATCTAATCATGTCACGTCGGAAAAAGATAGTAATACATGCATATATTTCAACTTGAACAGTGCTCCCTCTTTCAGTGGAGAGGGGAGGGAGCGGAATGTCGGAGGGTTTTCTCAGCTAAAATAGAATGGACGAGAAGACATAGTCTATACATAAACCCTGTACATTAAGACTATAAATAAAAGGAAGGGGACGGATGGAGAATTGAGATGCTCCTTCCAGAACCAATCTAGAGATGTATTTTGAGGCTCAATTGAATCTAGTTCGAGAGTTCATTTTGTTCTTTTATATTTGTTAATGAATTAAACATTCCAGCTCTAAGCCGTGGAATGATACCTCCTTGCCTCTCTTGACTCTCGATTGTAACCAGTGAGCCCAAGTAGGTAGGTAGGTACTAGGTAGGTAGTAGTGATTGAATGGGATCGGTACATTCAAACCTTTATCTCCCGAGTGGAAATGGAAACTTACTTGATACCTATCTAGTACGCTACTACTGGTAGTCTGGCTCACCCACCACCATGCTCACCAGGCTCCTAAGTAAACAACCGGTTTTATCACGTGGGTGTTTCTTTAAGGTTTAATCTTCAACCGAGGAAAGCGCGACCGGCGGAGGTCCATCTTCCGCTTTGTACAAAACAGTTCCTTCACGATCCTCCATCAAAACTTTGTTTACTTGTAACCACGACTCGTATTGCCTGACTCCCATCAATCTGCGCTTCGAACTTCAACCTCACAATTGACTTGAAACATTAAAATCGCCCTTTGCTCCTCCCTTTCTTTATTCTTAACTTGTTGTCACCTCCGCCTCTCCTACTTCTCCACCTTCCCCCTCCGCTCATCCTCATCATCTTTCTTCACCTACGTATTATCTACATATAGATTGCAATTTGCCATTACACGCGATTGAATTGCAGCGATAATCATGGAACCTACAACTGAGCCCCAAGGTGAAAAACGGAAACGTAGCCCGGAAAGTTCAGGAAGTCAGGGTCATGCACGCATAACACAAGCTCCTCGATTGGGCGAAAGCGCAACTCCAACAGCTGCTGCGCAAATCAACTATTTAGTCAAAGCCAGAAGCGATAAACTTAAACTGGTCGAAGGAGATTCCGAAACGTTCGGAGATGTTTTGAGCATGTTGGACGAATATGAAGGTGTGTATATGAATCACGTGTATTGATTCCCGCTCGGTGGGGGAGCAAGGGAGGAAGTTCTACTTGTGCGTGATGACCATTAAGGGACATAATATTAATGTAATTAGGTGTTCTTCAACGACGCGAAAGTCTGGCATCGAATCTTGGTGCGAAACTTGTTGGTCCTTTGCTATTGAAATCATTTGAAAAGCTTTTTGACGGTCCAATTAAAGTCGTTCAAAGCTCCTATGCTCTCGAACAAACGCCAATTACCTGGTTAGAAGTGGTTTCTTTCGCGCGTAGTAACCCAGCAGACTTTATTCTTAGTGATGCATTACATGGCATGAAAGTTTGTCGGTTCTGGATCAATGGAGGTCAAGTCGAAATATCTGAAGACGATTATCGACTGATCATGTCAGGTGCTCCGGAAAGAATGATTCCAAGTCAGCCTCTTCCAGAAGATGAGGACTCTGAACTTGGAACCCTTCTCATTCTGGAGAATCGACTTACAATGTTGATCAAAAAGGCCGATGCAGTGGCTAGTAAAGCAAGACAACTCAACTACCATATGAAAGGCAGAAAGAATGCTATCAAGGCAAAAAAATCTCCCGAACAACCTACTGAATCCCCCCTTCCATTCGCATCCCAACCATTTTCTGCCGTCAATCGAAGCAGATCACCTGCTCCCTTGAATGGTGAGACTGCCAAGCTGCAACAAGATCTGTTGGAACAGTTTCATAGCCCAAGCCGTCGACAATCGTTACCATCTCAGCCAAGATCAAAGCAACCCCGCCTTAACAATTCTGAGCACTCAACCTTTCATTCTTTCAATGGTGCAGCTCCAAGTTCTGATCACCAACGAGCATCACAGCCACCATCTAATTCTGATGATGGGATCGAAGGGCAATATCGTGTTTTAATGGCTGCCAGGATTGAGAAACTTCACAAAGGAGATCCAATTACACCACCGTGCGATCGATGTCGACGTTTACGATTCACATGCACTAAGCATATGACTGCTTGTGCTGCATGCACAAAGAAGCATGCTAAATGTTCTTGGAAGGATGTCAAGGATGGTGAACTCGAAGCAACAGCATCTGTATCTGCACAGCGAGATTCTTGCGGTTCATCAGAAGATGGGTTGTTAATTGTTGATAAAAAGCATACACCAGAACGATCTACCTTGGCGACTAGTGGTGGTGTTACTACTATCGCAGCGGGTGGAGCAAGTGGATCGGGTAGACAAATTCCAGTAAGTTGTCACATCAACTGTTATTCAACTCTCAATGAGTGATCTCTTTTTCTTTCGCCATCATTTTCACAAGTCAATCACTTTACTAAATCCCTAAATTTATAGGCTCACGCACAGCACATGTCAATTCTTTCTGGTCTAGAAGCTGAATTGCGTCCTCAAAACGCCACAAAGATTAACAATCACGTTCCTAACATTGCTGCCACTGTTCCAGTCAGATCACCACAATCAAAGCCAGAGCAAGAAAGAAGAGTCTCCGCTGAACATACATTACTAGCACAGATGGCTTCAGCTGCGGCTGCGGCTACTACTCAATAACAAAAGTATATTATAGGAATAGTACGATATGAACTAGAATATGTACACATCAGATCATCAGCAAAGATAGGATGGCCGATTAAATCATCATCACATATTGGCGTCCATGTTCAACTTGGATATCTTCTAGAGTTAGGGCGGCCAAAGCCATTAATTCGTTCCTGATTCTTGAAAGCAATATATGGACAATAATTCTCTTTTTATAACATTCCGGGACTGTTTGTAGGGAGCTGTTGGTTGGTTATTGGAGATCATTGGAGGTACATTTTCAGGATGGAAAATTGGCGCATATCTCAAGTTCGATTGGCGGTGAGATATCAAAAAGAAAGGCGCCCGGTTGATGATTATGGATGGTTTGAGGTTTTATGGCGGTGTGTCCGGTATACCAGTTTTCGTCTCCTTGGTTAGCACTAGTTTCTTTCTCTGGATCCTTTTTTGAAAGGATCAATTTTATCATTTAATGATTGTGTTATATCCTTATGTGGTACTAGCTCACATCTATCATCTATTGTTTAGTTAAATAAGATCTGCTCGCTATTTATATGCTTTGTTGCTACATTGTTAATGATCTCACTCATTTTGACGGCATCTCAAGTCTTCCGTCTCCAACTCATGCTTTTCTATGTTATGCAGTATGATTACTTCAATGATCTTCATAGCTTACATGCCACCTTTCGCACATTCCAACTTGAATGCTCATCGACTTATTCCCAGAATAACTGATATATTTACAGTTGCCATTGATACTCAGAGTTCGGTTGATCTGTTCATTTTTATGTGTCGATCCCACAAGCCATAATGAAAGTTCAAAGATACTTACATTCGAACCAAATGTTCTAGTGATTTTGCGTATGAAATACTTCATTTCATACCTTTGGTTTATCATAGGAGCTTCCTGCGACACAAATGAACTAGATCTGAATCGCTGGCCGTATGATTTCTTGTGTTATTTTGATATCAACTGCGATTTTATTATGCTCGTCTCTCTTTGAGACAACAGTCGATTTGTCTAATTACATAGACATTTCTTGTTATACATTACAGTATTTATAGCATACCCAGTTTTCTAGATATCCCCAAAAAATAACCCCTTCATTCAACTTCAAAATTTTCGGCTAATGATTTGATTTGACTTCCCAATTATAACCATTTTAACTTTCAATCTTGCGATGCTCTTCGGCAATCCGCTTTACTATGACGTCCCTTTACTGATACCGAATTCGGTTGGGAGTAATTATTTCAACATGGCACCTATTTTTCGAGGGTGGAAGTGAATTCTGCTATGATAATGGGGTGAACTGACAGAATCTGTGGCTACCAGGTTGTGAATGTGGCAAACTCTAAAATTCGAAATGAGATTAGAAAACGCAACAAAATGCATCGATAATAGTGTTTAATTTGCCGACTATCGCGTTAGAATCGAATGAGTGATGGCAGAGAATCGAAGCTTTAAAGAAGTTCCAAGTTCCTTTTCAATAAAGTCGTAAACTAAAATGTTTATTATTGTCAAAATTCTAAAGTACACATCCCAGTAACAGGGAGTAATAGGAGAACAATAAACTTTTCATAATCATGTCACATTCTTAATGTTGCCTCTCACATCTAAATCGTATATCCCGCACTATTAAGTTGTCTGGGTTCACCTGCCGCCTCGAACGTTCCGTTTCCTAATCTCCTCAATGCCTGCGCAGTCGTACTTCCCACCGCTACAAACGAAATCGTTGCTCCGATCTCCTCAAAGAATGCAGTAGTTTCATTACTGTATCCTTCAATGCCGAAAGTGTCGGATCCATACTCAAAGTAAACGTTGTTAGGAGATAGTTGATCGTGTAATCTTGGATGACGGAGACTTTCGGCAGAAGTCATGTTTTGGTCAAGGACATGCCAGAGATGTTGGATTACCTCTGTGATGATACGGGAGCCACCTGCAGAGGCATGGGCAATGTAGACAGTACCGTTGGGGTATTCAACGATAGTTGGAGAGATGGAAGAGAGGGGTCGCTTGAAGGGTTGAATGAAGTTGGCTGGGGCGGGAGCATATCCGAAAGCGTTGGTAGTATTGGGGATAGAGAAATCTAGAAAATCATTAATATGATGCGGGAAAAAAAAGAATCCGAATTAAGGATCTTACCATTCATTTCATTGTTCATAATGACACCTGTTTCTGGAACCATGAGTCTACTTCCAAATAATGTGTTAATGGTAGATGTCATGGCAATTGTGAGACCGCTCTTATCAGCAGCAACGGAAGCAGATGTTCCATCATCAGAAAGAATACCATAATTTTGAGGATTATAAGCGGATACGTTCAAAGTATGATATTTCTCGATTTGCGATCGGATTTCAACAGCTGTATCTTCTGATAGCATCTCCTGTTGATAACTTGTCAAGTTTGGGAGGAAAGTTGGATCTCCCAACAAGGTTCTTTGACCATAAGCAAATCGCATTGCCTCATCTAGGTAATGAGTCGAGAAATTCAGCTGACTTGGACTTGACATTTCATACCCCTCAACAATGTTCAAAACACTGCATACTACAGCACCGCTAGATGGAGCAGTTCCGCTATGAATCTTGAATCCTCGATAGGTAATATTCGAAGGGATTCTAGATTCAATAGTGTAATTTTTCAAATCTGAAAGTTCCATCGTTCCATTTGATTTTTGAAGTGCAACGATTGTAGCATTTGCAATGGCGCCTGTGTAGAATGCATCTGGACCATATTCGGCAATGGTTTCAAGTGTATTCGCATATCTTTTTCTTGTGAATAGGTCACCCAACTTGACTCTGGTTCCATTTGGTGCAAAGTCAATTGCCCAAGTTTCGTCATACGTCAAAAAATCGTAAGAGGTTGTAGAAGAGGCCATGTAGCGAGCTAAATCGGCGGTAACATTGAAACCATAGCGAGCAACCTTGACTGCAGGTAGTACGACTTGTTTCCATGGCAATACTCCATATTTTGTGTGGATGTGCTCGAGGCCACGGAGTTCTCCTGGTACACCACTTGCTAAACCGCCGTAGAGGGAGGCATCAGAGTTGGAGAGAGGAGGGGAATACATTGTTTCGAAAGCGGCGGCGGGAGCCATTTCCCGAAAATCAATAAACTCGTAACTTCCATTGGCTGATCGAACAGTTGCAAAACCACCACCTCCAATACCGGAATGATACATCCCAACTACTCCGACACAGAGTTGTACCGCCACAATCTAGTAGAGATGTTAGAATGGTTAAAAGTTGATCATAAATTTTGGCATGATTGTACTCACGGCATCAGCAGCATTTCCTCCGACTTTCAAAATATCGATACCAATTTCTGTGCAAATAGAGCTTTCACTAGCAACGGCTCCATTCTTCCCATCGTCATGTGAAGTCGAGTTTAGTGGTATTGATGTAGCTTTTATGGAAGGTAAGGCTGCCAAGGCGACACTGAGAACGTGAGGAAGACGACGAGAGAACAACATCTTGAAACTTCAAGACGAAACTTGATACTAAAAGGTGATGCAATAGGGCAAGGAATGAAGGCTACACGAATGACGAAATACGTCAATAATGAAGTTGGATTGGAAGCTATTCCTGCGTTTTCTAGTATTATATGAATAGGATTGGCATCGCTTTCACTGTTCTTAACAAGAGGGGTAGTATTGAAGTGTTGATTTCAAACAAACGGTAAATACTTATACAATTCAATTCAAATCATGGTCACCGAAATCGGCTTGTCATTATCTAGAGTTGCTGATAATGCAGGTACTTGCAGGAATACTTGACACCGCAACATAGTGATAGGAATCATGGCTGAGCCGCGTAAGTTCCCCATCTAATGATTGGGAGAAACCTTGAATGAATCTCGTACGAGGTACTTGCTTGAAGATCTAATTGACTTGTTCAGTTGTTATCTCATTGGTTTCCATACTCACGTTGATATTAGACCCCGACGCAAGGGTATTTCCGAGATGGCGGGGAGAAAGTCAGGGGGTTAACCTGATAAGGAAGCTCGAAGCTCGGGTGGGGTTTATTCGGCTCAGGCTAGATCCATACATCAACTGTATATTAGTGGGGCGTGTTGATAGGCGTTTTTAAACGATTGATAGGTTGATAATAAGTTTGCCCAATCTTTGATATAAGAATCTAGTCATAACTTTCCCATCACCAGTATTTGAATATGTACCTGCATAGTGATAATCTCGAATTCGGGACCGGGAATGCCCATAGATGGGATGAAGCATTGACGATACAAACCCATAGTTTCCGGTGAGTTCCAGCCCTTTCAATCTACAATTTACATTTCGGACGCCTTAGCCCGAAATCATGCGGGGATTGACGTCGAAGGCGCATGGAAACTCTCAGACATCTCACCTTGAGCGTTGAATGTATTCCAATCTATCAGCTTGCATGATAAATTCCGCAGTTGCAGTTGGAGAGAGGCTAACACACACTAGAGATCATCGGAGCCCGATTGATCTAATATATTGATCAATTTCGTTCAATCTCTCGGACCAGACCTTTTATTCAGGATGTGAAAGAAATTAGGATCGAAAGAATATAATCTCGATCTTAAATTGACAACTACGACCACCCATTAAAAACTCCACTTAAAAATCTCAAAACCCCAAGGTATCAAAATGCCGCTTCGCTCTCAACCCGAGAAAATTGCTCCAATATACATCCGTCAAATCGTAAATGCATCAATTCTTCAGTATCCACCCTAAGCTGTGAAATCTTTCTATACTTGCGTTATATACTCTTGAAAATCTCTCTAGTATCGATAAACAGGTTGTTTACCCTGAGCGACTGAGTATCTTGGCTCGTCCTCATCATCTGATACCTGCTCGTTGACTGCAGCATGCATTGTAACATTGCCTATACTACTATCTTGCCTTCCGACATAGCTCTTCGTTTCTTTGAATCCAGGGTGATATGGTTCGACACCAAGAGTGTCATTGAACTGACCAGTAGTTCTCGGTGGTGCATCAGAAGGGAACGGTGGTCTCCTTGATGAGTTTAGC